AGCCAGCTCAGTGGGACAGGCTCTGGGGAGCACACAAACACACGCTGCCTTTTCCAGAGCCTGCACCCAGATCTCCTGCAGGTGTTTCCAGGGGTTTCTTCCAGGTGACCAAGCACTAGCCCTGTCCTGCTCTCTTTGCAGCTTGTTGTTTCTAAGAGCAGTGGTGTGAAAAAACAGGAAGCCATGCAGAGGAGAGAGAATACAGATTGAGGCACGAAACTGCAGTACCCCAGCTCCCCCAGCACTCACCCCACCCCCTCTTCCCTTCCCACCCCCTCACCACAGGCCACATTCTCGATGAGAAATGCTCAACTTACTCTTGACGGGAAACTGGGTACGGAGCTGGAGAGGGGAAATCCAGCAGCACGGAGGGAAATGCAGCTCCCTGGGCTCTGATGGCCACCAGGAACAGCTCAAATCAGACTCTGCTCCACAGGTGCATCCATTTTAGGCTTCAAGGGAAAGTTTGTAACTCCCTTGTCCTCAAAAGTTCAGATTTGCTGCTTCAAAGATCCACTGAGGACCATTCTGCAGGCTGTTTGAGCTTTATCTATGATTTGCTGCAATCCAAACACGTGTGTGCACCATTCTGTGCCCATGTGGTTGTTTAACGAGTAAGAATTCCGAGTTACATCTCTCTGTTGAAGAAAGCCACTGGATCCTCTTGTCTTCAGCTCTCTTCACAGCTCTCCCAACTCACCCCATGCTAATTGTGACAATTGGCAAATTGTGACACAAATTTTTTGTTTTCCAGCTTTTCTTCATTGCTCAAACCCTTAAATCTCTTCAGTGTCCAACACAAGGCTGAGAGATTAAAAGGGGGGAGACGAAGAAACAACAGCTGGGGCAAAAACACTGGTAAGGGACAGAAAGGCCAAGCAAATGACCAAAATCATGCCAGCACCCCGGCTTCCAAGGCAGAGAAAACATTTCCAGCTTCACCCAGCACATAACCATGGCTGTGCTTACATCAACCGTCTGGATAAAAGAGGAAAGGAGGAAATGTCTTGGGAATCCTGGTATTGCTGAAAGCCAGGACAAAGCCAAACAACACACACAGTTTGGCCAGTGCTTCTGGAGGCCAGCACTCCAAAACCAAAGTGGATCCAGGTGGGATGAGAGCGCACAGCTTGAGCCACAGAGGGTGACAGTGCACACGGTGAAGGCACAAACGACCTGGCACATCCCAGAGCCAGTGCCAGCCCAGGATGAGCTGTAGGCATTAACACACGGAGAGGTCAGCCCAGAACCTCCCTACACCATGCTTGGATCTGGTCAATCAAAAGCTTTTTACATCTGTACTAACCTAGCCCCATGCACAGAAATTGTCCTGCTTGTCTAATGTTAGTAACACATAAAACCACTGTTAATTGCTAAAACCAAGGGCAAAGGAGTAAGGACAGACATGAGGCCACCCAAAGGAGAAGAATTAGACAGTCTGATATCTACTGGTGGGAAAGGGGAATGCTGAATTTCCTTTGTCCTGCCCAAAGCCTCTGTACTGTTCACAAGGGGATGTGCTGGGCTGGGGTTTATTTATAAAACCTATGAGAATGTTGACCTTAGGCTATAACTTGGAGAAAAATAAGCAGAGGTCAGGTTTTCTAAACACAGCCAAAAACCCCAGAGAGAAGTTTACCAGCAAGACCCCCGACTTCCAGAGGGAAGCAGAAGTCAGGAGAGGCCCCAGCACTTCTGAGCTGCCAAGGAAACCATGCAAACCATGAGGCATCCCCTGGTTTGAGCGCAGCCCATGCTGCAGCTTTCTGTTCTAGCCACAGAAGCAAGGCAGGGTCTGTGGGGAGCTTGAGGGTGCCCGAATGAGCCTGAGGGAGATTCCCAGCACCTCTCTCTCTGCTGGCAGAGCTAGACAGCTTTCCCAGGCTCCTAATTTTTTTGTCTTTTTAAATCACTGATGAAGAAAGATGCTCCTACAAGTGGTGATTCAGAGCAGGGCCTTTATCGAAATGCTCTGAATCATTCTTTGTAAGAGACCATCCCTGCTGACAACTGAAGGAGCCTCTGGAGAAGGCAGACAGATGAAGTGGTGATTAACTCTTGTGTGGCATTTGCATCGGAACACTCATGTAAGAGACTGAGCTGTTTGCTGCTGGGGCTGTGGCTCATTATCCAAACCTGCTCGGACAAAAAGCCCAGGCCGGTGCAACCGGAGGAGGAACACGCAGTCTGCAATCCAAACGTTTGACCCACAAATAACTCAGCCAAGGCCATCCCTACCATTCTTTTTAGGAATACCATGAAGTCCTCCTCACCTCAAGGAAAATTACCCACGCCCAGCACGATGGGGAATGCTGCTGGGTGAGGGTGTCAGGAGGAACCCCCGCAGGTGCAAACGGCGCTGGAACATTCCCTTCTCCGTGTGCAGACTTTCCGAGTCTCTCTGGCGTAGCTCCAACGCGAATTTCCCGTTTCCCTTTCCAGAGGGGGCCGGTGTCTCAGGAGGAGCCCTGCCCGTCCCGGCGGGGTGCGGCACGAACGCCCCATCTAGCGGCACCCGCACAGGGAAACGCTGCAGAACAAAGCGGCAAGCTGCTGGAAATGGCCGCGAATGGATGGGAAAAGCGATTTATTTGTGAGTTCCACCTGTCTGGGCTGGGCCCTGCAGCCCATCGCCGCTACCTCAACGCAAAGCACAGAGGGATGACAAATTCCTCACTCCCAACCCACAAAAGCCGAAGCTGCCTGAGCGCCTCGCGGGCTCAGAGCCCCTCACAAAACACCCCGGGCCACGAAACTCACTTCACACACACCTTATAACCTCTCGTGTTTAAGGGAAACGACCCCGGCGGGAATGATCTTTACTTAAGGGCACATAAAAGCAGCTTGCCCGTGCATTTGGTGGGAGCACACCCGAGCCAGCCTCCGCAGCCCTTGTGGAAGAAATGGTCACCACTCACCTCGGCCCTTCCCGGCCAGGCCAACCGCTGCAGAAATCATCCCTGGGCAGGCACACGGGGCAGGAGAGCCTGCGGGCACCCAGGGTTTGTGGGCAGGAGACCCTCCCGATGCCCCCAAACCCCCAATCCGCCCAGTCGGGGGGTCCAAGGGGCCTGGGGGTGTGAGGGGTCCGAGGGTGTGAGGGGTCCAAGGGGCCTGGGGGTGTGAGGATCTGAGGGGTCTGGGTGTGTGAGGGGTATGAAGGCTTGAGGATGTGAGGGGTGTGAGGGGTCTGGGGAGTCTGAGGGCGTGAAGTGTGTGAGGGGCCTGGGGGGTCTGAGGGTGTGAGGGGTATGAGGGGTCTGGGGGTGTGAAGGGTCTGGGGGGGTGAAGGGGGTGAAGAGGCTGGGGGTGTGAGGGGTCCGAGGGGTCTGGGGGTGTGAAGGGTCTGGGGGGGTGAAGGGGGTGAAGAGGCTGGGGGTGTGAGGGGTCCGAGGGGTCTGGGGGTGTGAAGGGTCTGGGGGGGTGAAGGGGGTGAAGAGGCTGGGGGTGTGAGGGGTCCGAGGGGTCTGGGGGTGTGAAGGGTCTGGGGGGGTGAAGGGGGTGAAGAGGCTGGGGGTGTGAGGGGTCCGAGGGGTCTGGGGGTGTGAAGGGTCTGGGGGGGTGAAGGGGGTGAAGAGGCTGGGGGTGTGAGGGGTCCGAGGGGTCTGGGGGTGTGAAGGGTGTGAGGGGCCTGGGGGGTCTGAGGGTGTGAGGGGTATGAGGGGTCTGGGGGTGTGAAGGGTGTGAGGGGCCTGGGGGGTCTGAGGGTGTGAGGGGTATGAGGGGTCTGGGGGTGTGAAGGGTGTGAAGAGTCTGGGGGTGTGAGGGGACACCCCCCACAACCCCCAACCTCTGCACAGCCACAGCTCACCTGGACACAATTATTACCTGGCCCTTCAGAATTGGGCACAGCAGTAACTCATCTACAGGAGAGGGTTTTCTTAAAAAAAAAACAACACAAAAAACAAACAAACAAAAAATACCCCCTGAACTCAACAACAACAACAAAACAACCCCAAAGGCACCCAGCAAAGGCCTCTTTAAAAGCCCCCCTTGGGGCCGGGTCTCAGCCTGCACCGGGCCCACCGCAGGGCTCCTAAGGAGGTTCCGTGCACTGGGCCTGGCAATGGAAAATCGAACTGCATTTCCAGCACTGTTTTCATCATGTTGGTGTTGGAATTAAAAGATGGCATTTAGAATCACTTTTTAAGTCTAAAAGTTACAAAATAACCACTATAAAACTGAATTTCAGTTGTACCTTCTTTCCAGAAAAGCATCAAAATAATTTAAGCACTTTCTGAAGCCACAATTCTTAGGAAATATTCTTTATTAATACAACATACAACAAGTGCTGCTCCTCACATAACAATATTTGAACTCTTCTTCTCATAAATGTAAATCATGGATCTTATTGGAAGCACATTTTGTCTCTGAACCCTTTTTTTTTTTTTTGAGGGAAAAACATAAAAACTACTCCTCCTGAAATCAAAAGGGAAGAGATCCTTACACAGTAATTACAGCATCGTTTATAAGAAACAAGTTAACAATGAACATATGCAAACATACGTAACCAGCAACAATATAAAATAACCCATATAAAAAATCCCGTATAAATTCACTTTAAGTACAAACCCACAAGATTTCCAGTATTAATCCAAGTGGCTTTGTTGGTTTGAGGTATTTTCCACCCGAAACAGACCTATATTGCTTTTCCACAGACCTAGAAAGAAAAGCTCCAAAACAAATTAAGGACACTTGAAAGACTCATTTCCCCGCATGAGGCAAGGACTGGCCTGTGCAGGACTCCTGTGCTTTCAGGCTCAGAGGACGCGCGGTACCGATTCGCTTGCTCGGTGCCGCAGCTCCCTCTCAGGCTGCCTGGAGGCTCCAACAACAAAATCACAATTCCCCCCCGAATCCAAACCCTTGGAGCAGTGGAGAAGCGCGGTCCGCTCCCCCCGGGCCAGCAGGAGGGAGGCAAGGGGCGCATCTCAGCCTCCGCAGCAGGCGCTTTCCGCACCGCTCTTCCTGCGGCATCTCCGGGCGGCTTCCAGCGGCTCTCAGGAGCCCAGCGGCGATGCAGCAGCGCCCCGAGCCTCGCCCGGAGCCGGGCACTCATCTGAAGGTGGGGCACAGCCTGGCGGCAGCCGGCAGCTCCCCGTGTCCAGCTCGTCGGGGCGCAGCGCCCAGGCGGGGAGCGGCAGCGGCGGCCCCGGGGGCACGGGCGGGGCCCGGGCGGGCAGCACCAGCGCTGCCCAGGGCCCCGGAGGGCAGCCGGAGGGCACCGGGGGCACGGCGCAGGGCGGCGGGAGCCACAGAGCGGCGGGGCACGGGCAGATCCCGGGGGGCGGCGGGGCCCGGGGTGCGGCGGGGCCCGGGGGGATCCCGGGGGGCGGCGGGGGCGATGCGGACGGGCCGGAGCAGTGGCGGCGGCGGCGGCGGCGGCGGCAGTAATTCCCCCCCGGGAACATGTCCTGGAAAGCCGGATCCAGCGCCCAGTCACCGCCGCGGCCGCGGCCCCGGGGCAGCCGTAGGAAGCAGGGATTGAGGCTGAGGTTGTGGCGGATGCTGTTCTGCCAGCGGCGGCCGGGGCCGCGGTAGAAGGGGAAGCGCTCCGCGATGTAGGCGTAGATGCCGCTCAGGGGCAGCCGCTGCTCGGGGCTGGCTCGGATGGCCATGGTGATCAGCGCCACGTACGAGTAGGGAGGCTTCTGTGGCCCCTCCGCAGTGTCCCGCTCGGTGCATGGCCCGGTGTCCGGCTCGGTGCATGGCCCGGTGTCCGGCTCGGTGCATGGCCCGGTGTCCGGCTCGGTGTCCGGCTCGGTGCCCGGGTTGGGGGGTGGCT